GAGCAGGGAGCCCGATGCGGGGCTCGATCCCAGGATCCTGGGATCATGCCCTGAGCCGAAGGCTGTCGCTTAACCAACTGAGCCACCCAGGCGCCCCCGTAGAGCATTCTTTCTAGTGAAAGTTTCCCCAATTAAAATTATTTCTCTTGCTCTGCTCTTCTTGAGTACACTGGGCAGATTTTGAAACTGGTCTTTCAAAATTAGCCTTCTGAAGCCAATCAGATATCAGAGATGTTGTTGGCCATAAATATTGTGTCAATAATTTTTGGTGCCAGACATAATGAAAATATTTTGTAGTGTACTCAATAGAGGAACATGGAAATCATCCCAATTATAAATGTTCTAAAATAAGAGCATTTCAAGGAATTTTAATGATATTTCTGTCAAGAGTCCATGTTGCTATTTATATATTCCTTCCTTCCTTCCTTCATTCATTCACTCAGCAAATAGCCATGAGCATCTGCTGTATTCAAGAGAGTTTGGTGCAGGAAATAAAGACAAAGACAAGCTCCTTGATCGTGAAGTATTTATCCTCGACTAAGAGCAGTAAGTTGATATATACAAACATTACCTAGATGTGTTCAAGTTCTTCAAGGTTTTATATTCCTTTTTTTAAAGATTTATTTATTTATTTATTTGAGGCGGGGAGAGAGAGAATCTCAAGCAGACTTCCTGCTGATGCAAGGTTCGATCTCATGACACTGAGATTATGACCTGAGCCAAAATCAAGAGTTGGAAACCTAACTGAGTCCCTCAAGGATTCATATTCTTAACAACAGTCTGAATCCTCATCCCGTTTGACCACGTGAAGTCCTATTGTTTAGCAGGTCCCCCTCCAAGATCCCTGTTCCTCTGGGAAACTTCAAGGAAAGCACACATATCCCCAAATTTCACTCCAACTGTCGTAGTAGCCTCCACTTACACCACGATGCTCTATTCTCTCCAGGTCACTTTTACTACCAGAATTTCCGGTACAATGTTGAATAGCAATGGTAAAAATGGATATCATTCCCTTGTGCTGATTTTAGGGGGCAAGCATTCAGTCTTTCACAATTAAGTATGGTGTTATCTGTGTGTTTTTCATAGATGCTTTTTAGCAGGTTGGGAGAGTCCTCTTATAGTATCTACTTTGTTGAGAGTCTTATCAGGAATGGATTTTTAATTTTGCCAAAAGTTGTCTCTCCATCAATTCTAATAATCATGGTTTTTCCTTTTCAGTCTGTTAAATAGTGAGTTACACTAATTTTTTAAAATTAAACCAATCTTGAATTTCTAAGATAAACCTTGCTGTTCATAACATATTATCCCTTTAGTATATTATTGGATTTATAAATTTTAGTTTAGAATTGTTGCATCTATTTTCATGGGAGATATTGGGCTGTAGTTTTCTTTACTTGTAATGTCTTTATCTGGTTTTATTATTAGGGTAATGCTGGTCTTATACAATGAGTTGGAAATTATTCTCTTCTCTTCACTTTTCTGGAAGAGCTTGTATGCAATTGATATTAGTTTTTCATTAAATGTTTGGTATAATTCACGAGTAGAGCCATGTGACCCTGAAATTTTCTTTCTTGGAATATTTTAACTACCATTCAATTTCTTTAAAATATGTAGGGATATTCACATTTTTAATTTATTCTTGAGTGAGCTTTGGTAGTTTGTATCTATCAAAAAATATGTCAATTTCATCTAAATTCTCAAATGTATTGATATAATAAACTATGATCCCTTTTTATCTTTTTATTAACTGTAGGATCTGTAGTTATGTTACCACTTTCATTCCCAATGTTGGCAATTGTGTCTGCTCTTTTTTTTTTTCTGATCAGCCTAGAAGTTTCTCAGTTTTATTGATCTTCTCTAAGAACATGCTTTTGGTTTCATTAATATATTTTTTTTCTGTTTTCTAAATCACTGATTAACACTCTAATCTTTTTTATTTCCTTTCTTCTACTTAGATGAGGTTTAATTTGCCCCTCTTCTAATTTCTTAAGGTGAAAGCTGAAGTCAGTGATTTGATCCCTTTCTTCTTTTCTTTAATTTTTTTTTATTTTTAATGGAAGTATAATTGACATACAATGTTATATTAATTTCAGGTATATAACATACTGATTTACATTACCATACATTAAGAAGTGCTCATCATGATAGGTGTAGTTATAATCTGTCACCATATGAAGTTATTACAATATTATCAACTATATTCTCTATGCTCTACTTTTCATTCCTGTGACTGACTTCTATCTGGAAGTTTGTACCTCTTAATCCCCTTCACCTATGTTGCCCAACTTGCCACATCCCTCACTTATACTACTACCAGTTTGTCCCCATTATTTATGAGTCTATTTCTGGTTTTTGTTGTAGTGGTTGGTTTGTTTTGTTTTTTAGATTCCACATGTAAGTGAAATCATATTCGTCTTTCTCTATCTGACTTATTTCACTTAGAATAATACCTTCTAGGTCCATTCATGTTGTTGCAAATGGCAAGATTTCTTTCTTTTTATGGCTGAGTAATATTCCAGTGTGTGTGTGTATGTGTGTGTGTGCACGCCACATCTTTTTTTTTTTTTTCAATACCAGGCTAACCCATCCTACCACCACCCCCCAAGAACCCTCAGTTTGTTTTTCAGAGTCCATCATCTCTCATGGTTTGTCTCACCCTCCGATTTCCCCCCCCTTCATTCTTCCCCTCCTGCTATCTTCTTCTTTTTTTTCTTAACATATATTGCATTATTTGTTTGAGAGGTGCACATCTGTGATTCAACAGTCTTGCACAATTCACAGCGCTCACCATAGCACATACTCTCCCCAATATCTATCACCCAGCCATCCCATCCCTCCCACCCCCCACCATTCCAGCAACCCTCAGTTTGTTTCCTGAGATTAAGAATTCCTCATATCAGTGAGGTCATATGATACATGTCTTTCTCTGATTGACATTTCGCTCAGCATAACACCCTCCAGTTCCATCCATGTCGTTTCAAATGGCAAGATCTCTTCCTTTTGATGACTGCATAATATTCCATTGTATATAAAAAAAATATTCCATTGTATATATATACCATATCTTCCTTTGTCCATTCATCTGTCGATGGACATCTTGGCTCTTTCCACAGTTTGGCTATTGTGGACATTGCTGTTATAAACATCGGGGTGCACGTATCCCTTCGGAACCCTACATTTGTATCTTTGGGGTAAATACCCAGTAGTGCAATTCCTGGGTCATATGGTAGCTCTATTTTCAACTTTTTGAGGAACCTCCATACTGTTTTCCAGAGTGG